GCAAAAAAAGACATACATGAGGGTGAGTGGAACGACGCAAAGCGTGATATTGTCCATCCGATTTTGACCAGTGATATTCAAATATTTTCAAATAGGATATCTAGTCAACCAACGGAAAATTAAACTGGTATTCTGATTTCCAGGTAGATGTTAACTTTGATAACAGTTCGATGGATAATATGTACATTCATCCATAGACTTGTCACGTCATAAAAAAGTTAGATTAGTTAATGTTTATGAAAATTTCAAGCGATTTTTATACCATTCATTGCATTATTACGTTTTAGAAACTATTAAAATCAAATAGTCAATTAAAGTGTCGGTTTAAATGAAAAAAAATGTTTGTACGTGAATCATGGAAAACTGAATTTCGAGTATCGAGAAAAATCGATTAGTTTGAGATAACAAACAATGTAACATATTTGTAATGAAAAAAACTCCGAGTGCAATAATAATAGTAGAGAGAAGCAAGCAGCAGCAAGTAGTAGTGCTTTACGAGCACTTCGGCAATTACACTCGACCACTGCACAAGCGACTGAACTTTATCGGTGGAATTTGTAATTTATGGCATTCAAGCCTCTCTTTGCCACGCGTAAGGTAAGTTTTGGATGCAATAGACGATTAATGGTACTGGAAACCGATAAAGCTCAGAGCATTATCATCTTTGTTTTATTTCCTAAGATTATACATTTCTCATATCCATTTTATCAGCAAATCTCCACAAAGTGGCCATTGATATTGTGTAAGTTTTTCATCATTGTAATGCGAGTATGCGTTTTAACCGAAAATGTAAATCTAGTACCGAGATTATAAATTATTTTATTCAACCATATGAAGGAAAAATACAAAGGATAATTCAGTAACGAAACTTTGTATTAGTTGAATCACAAAATATCTTCAGTGCTGTTTAATATGATTGACATTGCGCATCTCGCAAAGAATCGGAAAAATAATAATTGCGCTTAGTATTGAATTTGCAGGCGATGCAGCAGCAACAGCAGCAGTCGTGGCAATCACGAATGAAAAGCCAATCTTTTACACGGGGCTTGGTGTGGCGTATTGAAAAATCATGTCAATAGCTTCGTTTATTCGCACTAAAGTCGGCCAATTCTCGTGAAATGGAGTTTTCCGTGAACTACTCTCTCTGACCACGTCTATGGAAGGGAGGTAGGGAGGGCTGGGTACGCGCTAGCTGTACCAGCAGCGTAGCGGAATTGAATTTCTTCTAGTGCAATCAGCAGCACAACTCGCACGCCCGACACTTGTATTATTTCACAACGTAGTTGAATTTCGTGTATATCGATACATATATAAGGACTCTGTGAGTTAAAATGATTTTTTCTTACATTTTACTCTTTCTTTTACTCAGTAGCGTATATTTTTTCTATAATTTCTATTGAAGTTGTGTATTTTTAAGGATGCTTAATCAATGAAAAAAAACCTCTGAATACTTTTTCGGATTGTAAAGAAATGAATTAAATACGTTCTACATATAAATATTATAACCACGAAAATACTATTTATAATTTTAGTTTTTTAAGTATCTATAGGTTACAGAAGAGTCTTCGAAACATACATCTTCTATTCCTGCAGAAGTTTCAACTTAAGATTAGGAGAAGATTATAGCGTTTGTCAACTTTGAGGTTGTGAAGAGACTTTCTCAAGATGAATTAATTGGATGAAGTTACGACAGCTCTGATGACACCGTACATACACACACTTTGCGTAGTCAGTTTAGCTATAATTAATATTACTTTGCATATACGTGTATGTCAACAATTCAGTAAAAAAAATATTTTTTAATTAAGTTATAAAATTAATAAAAGAACTTAAAAATTAAGTTTTTCCCACTCTAAACTAAAATACGCAACTTTGCCGCTAATTTTAGGATCTCGTAGGAAAAAATAGTATCATCACCTGGTGCAGATATGGTTTTTTAACAAAAAACGTTACAGCACTTGCCTTCGGCTCGTGCTATAATCCCTCGTTTTGCTAAAAAACCATAGCTGCATCTGTTAAAAAATATACTATTATGGGAAACTAGTTTAATATCATGTAAAATAATCCCTTACTTTACTCACCAATTTTTTTTATAAATGAGACGCTATGAAAGAAAGTTTCGCTATATTTTAAGCCATAAATTGTAGTATTTAACAATATAGTTTAGTTAAAATATCAAAGACCAATTGATGGATGAAAAAAGATGAAATTTTATGAGATCGTAAGTCATGAAAAGCAACATAAACAATTTTTATCATGTTTATAAACCAGATAGTTCGTAAAGAAATTAATTTGTTAAAAGAAATTTATAACTATTTTTCACTCTAACCGTTTGGACTTTTTTCGAACCTGAGTGATCACATACTGATTCAGGATGAATTTTCAAACTTTAAGATCAATAAAATTATAAAATTTATACTAGTATGTTTTAGATACTTTAAAAATGCATTTTTTAACAGTAGAAAATTTTTAATAATTGCTTTCTCAATATCCGCACTCGAATGAGCGAGCGAGCAAGTCAAGTACCTTAAGAAGTTTTCGAATCTAGCGATTTCCGCTATTACTGGTGTATAAGCTTGAGATTGCACTTGAAGGTTTGACAAAAGCAGGATATTAAACATAAATCATGATCTTTGACAATTCGAGCGCGTGCTGGTACTGCTTGAAACTTATGTTAAAGAGTATTAAAATCACTGAGACAAATAGTTCAAGAGTAAAATAATAAAAGTTTTTTAATTTCAAGTAGATATAATAACATGTTTGTAATGATTGTACTATTTTGAGAATTACGTATTTATTGAAAACGTATTATATTCATTGAAAATTTCCAAAGCCCAAATGCATAAAATAGGGAAAAAATACCGTTTGCCAAAAGATCATTATTAATTTTTCATTAAAATTGATAAACTCAAGAAAAATATAAAAAATCAAGTTTTTTTATAATTAAAAAATATTTGTTTCGCGCCGCGTTAGATGTTGTTGAGTTGAAAAATTGTAAAATCCACTATAATTTATTCATTCATTGCCTTAGTGTTATTAGCAAAAGTTGAAATTATTTTTTATCACTTTTATAACTTTGTTACCAAAAATAAAATTCGATCAAAGAGGAATCAATATCAATATCTCTTGATGAACGGCAAATCTTTCATAAATCTAACTGCAAGCATTGTATCTATCTGCGATGGATCTAGCTTCCGCAAATAAATCTAATTTACCACTCCAATCAAAAGTAAATCAACACAAAAACACTTCAACAGCAAGTCAATAATTGGGTTTTCTTTCATGATTTCATTAATGGGACTCTTTATAAACGCCTGTCAATACATTTGTAAAAAAATATTTGCTAGTAATGTGACTGTTACATCTCGTTTTCGGGATTCAACAATGACTCATCGTTTTCGCAATTTGTATAGTCAATGCTCTCAAAGCAATTTACTGGCTTGATACTATCATTTTTTAACGATGCGTTATCTAATTCATTGATTTTTAAAAACTTCTCTGTTTCTAAACAAAGTTCATTTATACTCTCTTTACCACAATTTATAATCTCTGATTTTGGTGTATCCGTATCGATATTATGTTTTTTGAGAAAGAATTGTTTGTATAATGTTAATTTTTTTCATTATCAATTAAATTGGACAGTTATTACCTTATTCTATATTCGGAACGTTTTTGAAATCGATCAGCAATCCAAAAAGTCATTTACAAATGTATGTTCATATTGTAAAAAATAGTATTTCATTTTTGTGTTATCATAAAACTTTAGTTTTCAAAATATTTCGAACACGCTTTAAACTTTTTTCAATAAAGCATGTTTTTCTTTTACATTATTATTTTAAAATTAACACATTGTCAGAATTGAAATTTAAAATCCAGTTGTATTTTAGTTTTTCTGTATTAAACATAAATTGTTAGCACCGTGCTGAGAATAATTTGTTTTACATTTGTACTTCTTTTATGCTCTCCTGAATGCTTTCTAGATTGTCTATTTTTTTATCCTCACTTAAATATTTTTTCCTACCGATTCTTCTTTAACCTTTCTTTCCCACGTTTATAGAGAAAGCTCTTTCGTATCATTTTCATGTTGATTTTTTTTCTATCAAGGAACTAGTTTTGTCAGGATATCGGAAATTGCATTTTCCTGTCACCGTATTTTTTTTTCTGCTGGACAAAAATATTGGAAATTTAACCCAACAAAAAGTTATACTTTCGCAAACTATCAAAATTTTTGGTGGACATTTTCACATACGTATTTATTTATTATTGATGAAATAATTTTTGTTCTCAAAAAATTTAAAAAAAGTTAAAAATATTTACATGGTTTTATGCAGTATAATTATTGCATTCAAAGAGTTAACATATTTTTATTTTAACAAAACGAGTTACAAATTCGCCTTAGATTCGTGATGCTATTCTATTCTGCACTCAACAAAAGATTTACATTTAAATACTGTATCTTACTGTACTGTAATTACTGTACAACAGCAATTGAATTGAGTTTCGAATTTTATGTTTGATTGCAATTAAAGATACGGAAGAGGGAATCTTGAGTCAATATTTAGGAGTACAAAAGCGCAGTAACAAACGTACATTGCGCGAAACCCACTAAACACTGATCCTCTTTAGGAGTTTAATCTATGAGCAAATAATAATTTTTCTTTGGTCGTGAAAGCATTTCACGATAGATATTTTTTTACCAGGTAAATCACGACGTAGAAAAGAGTCAAGGACAAGCTAAATAACTACCATTTTGGATTTTATAAATGCACAAATCTTAAAAATTTGCAAGATATATATCGGTTAAAAATGTATCTTTGAGTTTAAATTGTTATCTCCTAATATTATATAATAGTATGTATGTATTTCATTCACTCTTGATTTTTATAATGTGCCACGATTAAAATTATGAACGATTGGTAAATAAAAAAAGGGTCAATCATTTATGCTAGTTTATGATTATACGATTATGGGTAAATAAACTATATACAATATACACATGTTCAAAGTTGGCTGACGTCACTGGTATCACTAACATCCTCGTCGTTATGGTAATTGCTGCCTTCGGCGTCGTCATTGGCAATGCCATTAGCGTTAGGTTGATCATTTCTGTTGCTGTTGAGTACTGTTGCGTGGAAGCCGTCCTCGTCGGCGCGATATTTTACGATCCTAATATTGCCGTCAGGCTCTTTGATTGTATATTCGCCAATGACTGCCTTTCCTAAGCGAACAAACGATTCATTGAGTTAAAAAGTATGATAAAATAAATAATAATAAAATAATAATTGTTATGTAGAAAATGAAGTATGGACAAAATACGCGCGAAAATTAAATGGTAATAACTCATCAATATTTTTTAGTTAAATTAAAATGTAGTAAAATGTTGTTGAGCTATACAGACTAATTTACTACATAAAAAATTCATATATATCTTCTGAAGCGCATAAAAAATTTATTGGAAATGCGAAAATAAACTAGACTAGTTGATCGTATCAAACAGATGTCACTCAAAATGATTACTTTTTCACAGTAAGCCAGGACAAAAGAAGCAGATCAAACAAATTTTCTCAAATTGGATAAATTCGTCTTGAAATCTTCCATGGCCAAGCTGCTTAATTTCTGACTCCCATCCATCTCTTCAACCCAGTTATAACCGATCTATCCACCTAAATATATATATAATGAAAATCCTAAATATATATATAAATATGGGTCAAAATAATACTTTTTTACAAAACCGTGCGTACGTATGTCACCGATCTTGACGCACTTTTGGTATGTTATAGTACATGGTAAAAAGGTTCAAAAAAAAAATTGTAGACCCCCTCCCCCCTCCTACCCCCACTTCCGGTATAAACGTCCATTTTCGATCTATATTTTTTCTGAGGACTTGAAGCCAATAAAAAATCTGAACAAATTCACAAAAATACTTTTCAACAATCCAAACAACCTCGAATTTTTTCAGATTTTGTTAGTGCTTCAGGCCTTCAGAAAAAATCATTGAAAATTCTGAAAATCGAGATACGGCGATATGAGCCGATGTAAAACTCGGAAATTTTTTCAGTTCATTTCCGCATCGAAAAACATAACCTTAATTTTTTCCACTTTTTTCAGATTACTTAACGCACCTTCTGAAGCCAAAAACCGCTTTTTTTAACGAAAATAATTTTTTTAGGCCGCTTTTTTAGCCTCGAAAAATCTGGAAAAATTTTTTTCTTGTTTTTTTTTATCAAAATACATTTTGAGCTTTTCAAGTTTCAGATTGAAGCCTCCTAGCTCAATCTAGAGCATCAAAATAGTTTCATCATTTCTTAATGTGTCTTCAGAAACGTCTTCAGAATTTTGCATTAATCTTTGTCCTACTCTAGATTGAGCTAGGAGGCTTCAATCGGAAACTTGAAACGCTCAAAATTTATTAAAATTTGACAAGGAATTCAAAAAAAATATTTTCAAATTTTTTCACCGGAACCATTGGGTTCTAGGAACCTTTTTTTGTTAAAAATAGCATTTTTTGGCCCTAGAAGCTATCGCCTTCAATTAAAAAATCTGAAAAAATTCGAGGATATTTTAATCAAAAAAACAAGAAAAAATTTTTTCAGATTTTTTAATGCTCCGTACCGTCCTAAAAAAATTATTTTCGTTAACAAAAGCGGTTTTTTGCTTCAGAAGGTGCGTTAGGTAATCTGAAAAAATCTGAAAAAAATTGAGGTTATGTTTTTCAATGCGGAAAAAAACTGAAAAAATTTCCGAGTTCTACATCGGCTCATATCGCCGTACCTCGATTTTTAGAATTTTTAATGATTCTATCTGAAAGCCTTAAGCACTCGAAAAATCTGAAGAAATTCAAGGTTGTTTGAATCGTTGAAAAGTATTTTTATGAATTTTTTCAGATTTTTTAATTGCTTTTTGTCCTCAGAAAAAATATAGATAGAAAATGGACGTTTATACCGGAAGTGGGGGGTAGGAGGGGGGTAAAAAATTTTTTTTGGGACCTTTTTACCATGTACTATAACATACCAAAAGCGCGTCAAGATCGGTGATATACGTGCGCACGGTTTTGTAAAAAAGTATTATTTTGACCCATATATATATTTAGCGAAGATCAAAATAAAATCGTCTTTTAATTCCTTTTTCCCGGGATTTTCATCTCCTCATACGCGATCAAGCCACCCCGATCGATCAGGTATTATATACAAAAATACATGTGTATATTTATTGAGAAAGAGCCAAGACTTTCTGTCACAAAAGTTTCTCCGTTATTAAAAAAAAAAAAAAAAGTATTAAAAATTTTACTTACCATCTCTTTGCTCTTTCTGACCGTGATAGTCACCGGTATTATGGTCTTCAACTCCATAAGCAAACTCGTAGTGTGCAGGTGCCGAATAGTCCTGGTGTTTTTTGCCATGCTGATCCGTCCATGTGACCTCTTTTTCTTCTCCTTGTACCGGGCCATGAAAGTGTTGAAACGAGTGTGCATGTCCAACTGATCTGGCCATAGACGAACTTATGCACAGTGTTAATAGCGATGACAAAAATATCAACTGCAACAATGTCAAAAAGTTTATTGTTAGTCTGATTATTGGTAATTTCCTTTTTTATTTTTACTTAGGATTCTTGGATATTGACATAACAAATCATAATTATTCAATTAATAAATAAAGTAAGTGAAATGTGAAATCAATAATTAGTTCACGTAAATTATGAATTTATGTCTTTTCACTCATTATAATGTTTTTTCAACTAGCGTTAAAATCAAAATATCATTTAATTTTCATTCCTTTGAACATAAACTTTAAAGTAGAATTTATATTGATTGATTACGATTAATAAATTAACACAACATAATCCCTTATTAAAGTGCACAAGTATGTTAGTTCGGTGACAACAAACATCGTCGATACGATCAAATTTACGAAGTAACTTTTGTAAGCGAAATGGTAAAGAAAAATGATTGCTACTTTCAACAACTTAAAAGCATTTCTATTTCTTCGAACAAGTTGCAATCGTTAACCACCGTCGTGCACTTCAATTTATCTCTACACATTCTATATAAACACTCACTTTGACAGCCATTATATCGTATTAAACTTCTTCACTACGTTTATATATGTGTAGGTGTAATTTTTTTTTCTCTATATCACTTTGGACCTTTTTCCCTGCACACTTTTAATCTGTTTTATTCGATCGACACTCTTAGACTAAACAAAACTCCAATGACCACTGTTCATTTTATTCATATTGGGACCGAGCACGGGAGGCCGCCGCGAATATATGGGACAAGCGTACTCTAGCGTGTTAATATCCGAAATTTTTCGTTCGCGTTCACGCTTATGATTTTGAAGTAAATAGATCGATTCCGTATCTGCATGCATCATAGTGTCATGACATAGCGCTCTGGGCTATAGCTTCTTACCAAACACCTATTACTCAAGCAATTGGCCAGTAGTCGTGGTGCGCGACAAAAACAACGTATATACGCGCACTCGAGCGCAGAATATTGGTTAATCGCCAGATGACGGCTATTTCTGACAATACTTTGTTGGCTTAGATAACTAAAGATCCGTATCAATTATTTTACGCTTTTCCTGTGGGCGTAAATATCCGTTTATTTTGCAGGAAAGTAGTATGATTTATTATCAACTAATGTGTAGCGTCTCTGCAGAATTTTGTAGAAAAATTATGTTTTCAAAACTTGCTTGATCATTCTATTGACAGAAAAATGAAATTTTTTTCACGATGCCTATATTATTGTATTAATAATAGTTTTTGTTTTACTACAAAACTACAGATGTAAGGAAGTAGTCTTTGAATTTAATACATAGTTGGAATAGTTTACGTTATTAATCCATAAACGCGCAAAAGTGCAATTTTATGCATGAATTTTCCATTTTAAAAAATCATTAAGTTAAAATATTTTCTTGAAAATCCATATCCAGAGGTTTTTAGGTATGCTCTTTCAGAATCCAGTGTAATTTTACGATAAATAAACATTATCATCATTTATTTAGCAATTAAAAATAAAAACGTGATTTTTTGACTTAACATTTTTTCTATCTAGCCCCTATATTTCTAAAATGGCGGGGTTATACCGAGCAGCGATGTACAAATTCCCTCACTATTTCACATGCGCTAAATATCAACTAAAAATTACGATTTGGAGTGTAAAAATGTATTTGAAATCGTTCAGAAAATACGTGTGAATTTTTTCAGAATTTTTCAGACCACTTTGAAAATTTTGAAAAATACGACCATTTCCCGGCCTGTCGAAAAAATCCAAAATCTTCCAAAAAAATTCTGAAAAAATTCACACATATTCTTTGAACAAATTTGAACACTTTTCATTCAATGAATTTTTTTATAAAGTCAATAATTTCCGAGTAAAATATGAGGGAATTTTCATATCACTGCTCGGTATAAATTCGCCGTTTAAGAAATATAGGGGCCAGATAAAAATCGCAGCAACGCGTTTCTTGAAAGTTTAGAGAAAAAATGCATGATTTCTGGTGTTGTGGGAACCCTCCGAAGGCAGGGGAAGGTAGAAAATCGACTTTGAAAAAAAATTTCAAGTCAAAAAATCAGGTTTTTTTTTTTTAATTGCAAAATAAACGATGATAATGTCTATTTGTCGCAAAAATGACACGAAACTCTGAAATAACATACCCAAAAACCCCTGGGTATGGATTTTCAAGAAGAGATTTTAACTTTATCCATGATTTTTTTTACAATGGAAAATTCATTTTGCGCGTTAATGGGTTAATCTTATATTGCGATAATTCAAATTTTAAGGCATGCGAGTGCTTAAGTATGGACTTAACCAATATAATTAGCGGGATATCCCAAAAATTGAAATAAAAACTAAGTGATAACTTTTTAAAAGTACATTGAAAAAAAAGAAATCTTAAAAGAGCTCTCTACGTCAAACCCGCATTTGATGTACAGAGGCTCAATTTTGGATTTTCATTTTCTAGAAAGTTACTCGATTTTTATCGGATAACTTTAGAAAAAATTTTTAGTAATAATTATACACATAAAATTGGGCGAAGAAATTAAAAACTTACCTCAAAAGTCCTGTTTATAAATTAAAAATCCTTTCATAATGAAAAATTAGTCCAAAAATATACTTGTTTGTATTCTTCAAAAAGGTCAAGATTATAATAAGTTATTTCTAAGAAAAAACGAAAAAAATTCATAAAATGAAAATAAAAATGTTTCTTGTTCTTCAAAATGTTACCAAAATGTCTTGATTGATTCATTATCGAGATTAAGCCATTCAACGAAAAGTTTGCAAGTGCATATTTCTATGAGAAAATTGCGCTTGAAAATGGTCTGAAAGTGAAAATTACCCCTTCATCTTTGACTTCAAATACGAAAATGTTAAAGGTCAATGAAAATCTGAAATAATTCTTGGAACTATGTAGAATTAGTTTTTGCAAAAAAAAGGAGGTCAAAAAATGTCTGAGTTGACAGAGAACTGATCGTAAGCAATTTATTTTTAATTTGTATACTATTTTTTAACTTAACCCATTAAGTCCCAAGAGGACGTTTTTTCAATACTTCATTCGGCCACTGTATTTTTGGTGTAAATGGGGTCAAAAAAATATGCGAGTAACTAATTCTAATGTAAAATTTGATGCCCTTTCAGAATCTGATCTCAGATTTTTGAAAAAGTGATCAGTTCAAAAGTTACACTTGATTTTACCCAAAAAAACATGATTTTTAAAAAAAAATTTTTTTTATTTTTCGAATTTCCAAATGAAAACCATTAGAAATCTTAGGGGTATCGTGCAAATATCGCGTCCTCGATACCTAAACTAAAAGTTAGTGGGGTTTAGATTGAAGAAAATAAAGTTGAAAAATACACTTTTTTCTCAAGTCCTTCGTTTTTGAGTAAAAATTCTATAAGTTTTCATTTAATTTTGCTAGTTTCGACCGACATTTTTTGTGTTTAAACATTAATTTTTTCAATCGGTACCCCGCTAACTTTCAGTTTAGATATCGAGGACGCGATATTTGCATGAAACTCTTGAGATTTCAAATGGTTTTCATTTGGAAATTCGAAAAATAAAAAAAATTTTTTTTTAAAAATCATGTTTTTTTGGGTAAAAGCAAGTGTAACTTTTGACCTGATCACTTTTTCAAAAATCTGAGATCAGATTCTGAAAGGGCATCAAATTTTACATTAGAATTAGTTACTCGCATATTTTTTTGACCCCATTTACACCAAAAATCCAGTGGCCGAATGAAGTGTTGAAAAAACGTCCTCTTGGGACTTAATGGGTTAAACGGTAAATTGCCAAATATTGCTCTATTATTAAATTTTAAGCCACACTTTTTTATTAGTATTGGAAAAATGTCAAGCGTTCTTATTCCAAATGTATGTTGTATTAAATGAAGTGCTAATTAAATTTGTTTGAAAGAAATATTAAATCGCTCGAAAAATAAAAGATATACACGTTTATTATTTACACCGTCAAATAAAAGTATAGAGCTAATACGTCAGATAACAGTAAAAATATTTTTTGAACATTTTATTTTTACACAAAAATATTCCTTCAGTAACCAAATAAACGATTTCAAATAAGTGTTTCTCTCGAGTAGCAGTGTGGAATATAAAAAATCTCGCCCATAAGTATGGCCTTATCATCGATGCAGTGTGCACCTGTTAAGCCCGTATAATTTACTTTTTTTCATGTTTGCTCTGTCTTAGTGGCTTCTGAGCTAGACGCTATCGTTCCGCAATGCCATGTATAATATACAGTTGGAACTATGTGAGATATACAAAAGCCGACGCTAATCTGCGGATTCATCCTTGGGAATCTTTCTTTATCCTACAATATTACTGGCGGATTCTCTCCGGAGGTACACGTAGCTGGGTACATGCGTGCTGTGTATATGTTTATATGCCATTGCAGAACAGAACTTTATATGCTCCATCAGAGAAAAAAGTGTGAGAGCGAGAGAAACTTTGTACATTCTCGCTCTCTTGTGTGTATACGCGCAGCAGTTGAGCTCTGACTTTGCTGATATTTTTATCTCGCTAGTTCCTCCCTTGCGTTTGCATACTTATTTATCCAAGTGTACACTGTCACGTACGTATGAATATATACAACAGCACAGCAAGTATATCTAAATTTCCGCCTTGTCGCCTCTTGAAAATTCTCCAATCGGATTTCAATGAGTATAGCTGTTCGAGAGAGAAAGAAAGAGAGAGAGAGAGAGAGAGAGAGAGAGAGAGAGAGAGAGAGAGAGAGCTACGTTGCATAAGCGGGTACATATAATGCACAATACATATCGTATGCACTTATGAATGGAGATTTTGTGACTGTGATTTGTTCATGCTATTCTGACGATACCATATATTATACATCTCGTCCAAGAAATATAAATTGCAGGTTGTCATAAAATAATAATCTAATGTTCCAAAATATCAGACTTTACATCATCCCATAGTTTCTCATGATTATTTTTCTAGTTGAAAGAAGCCAAGTGCCAAAAAATATTTTTAATAAATAATTTTGTAACATTATTTTATCCAAATAGAAACTTTAACATGGTATTGATACACCATTTAAGTTTCTATTGTTTATAATATTAAACATCTTTGATAAGTTTCAGTTTTTTGAATCAAAAGTAAAATAATTTTGTATAGAGTAAGTTTTACCCAGTATTACATAAAATATTTGAAAAACGTTAAAAGTTAAAATTCATTTTGTTTTCAATCTTCAAAATGATAGGATTAATAGCTTAAGATTTTTTTTGTTTTTCTTAAGACATGGAAAATCTTAAATAACTTTTTATTCGTCTGAAGCTGCTACATACAGTGAGTTTCTGTACGCACTCAAAGAGCACAATGAAAAGCGTAGGAGCAGAGGTAAAGACAAGTAATTATGCTGCTTCTCTGACTGAATCGTAATTGCTCTTTAATGAAGTCCGTAATTCAAAGACGCGGATGGAATTAACGTTGTAAATGTGTCTTGTGTACTTGCTTACTTATCTGCGAGGGTGAATAACAGCTTGCATGCGAATAAGCAAGAGTAACTGCTCCTTTCATTTTCGATTAAGGGTACTTGTTAAGGGCTTATATATACCTTAAAATCCCATAATTTTAAAATACATGAAAATATAAGTAAAAATTAAATCTGGTGAAATGGAAAAATTCTCCTCTTTTCCAACCCTTTTTTCAATCAGAAATCACCCTGACATACCCCAAATTAACTTGAATACAGCCTAGATGTACTAGGCAAGTCAGAATTCCCAAAATTAATCATACCCTCCTGGCCCGTAGAATTCCAAGTGGTAAAATTAATTTTGAGACCCCAGGGTCATTTTATTTTGTTTGTCAGAGCCATTTTTATAGCCGCTACTACAGGCAAGATTGTTAATCAGATTTAACTATATTTTTATTCATTAAAACAACTTTTTTAATTATTATTTATCCATTTTTTCACAATTTTTGTGGTAGTCAGCTTACAAAAAGACCTACAGAGGTCCAAACATCCTCCCTGTAGTGGCGGCTATACCCAAACATGTGCTGAACAAGTCCCTGCAACCTGGACCCTGAAGTTCAAACGGTTCTTCTGGAATCTTACGAGAACAGGGCCATTTTTAGCAAAAACACAACTCTCCAGGATAAGCGATTGAAGAAAATCTTGCAAATATTCTTATTGAATCACTATAATAAACTTTATCACTCCTAATAATTATTCTAGGCTAAGAGAACATTCAATTTGGATTTTGTTCTATATTGCCAAGTCACCATTGAGCCATGTCGCATAATCCATAATTGACTCTAGTATTCATTATATTCAGAAGCCTAATTGATAAAATTACAAGTATATGCCACTGAGACTGAAATTATATTTCAAAGCCGGATTGACTCATGTGGCAATATACAACAAAAAGATAGGCTCAACTCAAAGAAGACTTGATGAAATAACTATTATGATTAGAATTAGAACTAATAAAATAGAACAATCACACGTGTTATTTGAAAAATGTTGAACTTTATTTGAGAATTTACTTTGAGAACACACAGTAAATTGTATTGTACATAGTCTTTGCATAAGAATTGTACACTATCTCACTGTGTATTCACTTTTTGATCAATTTCACACTTGGAACTGTTTGCTATTTTTAACAACAAAACTTCATTGCACTTTAATTGAGATTTCACTTTGAGAACACACTTTTAGAATTGTACATAATCTCACTGTGTATTCACTTTTTGATAAATTTTACACTTGGACCCCTTTTAACAACTTTTACTGTAGAACTAAACAATATACTAACGCACAATGACTTCAGCTTTATTGAACTTGAGATCCTCTTCTGCTAAATCACATAGAGTTTACTGTGTAGTACATGAAATTCAGTGTTTACAATTATGTGTTCTATGGTGAGCACGAGATGGCGCTGGAGTCAGCCGCCGGACTGAGATGCCTGACAATGATAAGTGACACAATGGGATGATTATCAATTAGTTAGGGAAAGTTTGAATGTCGTTGTTTGAATGTGTTGAAGTAAAATGGGATATAAAGATGGGCAGAAACATCAAATAATCGATTTGCCGAGAAAAATGAATTTCGTTAAAAATTTATATATTGGATTTATTCAGAAAATCGAATGTATCTTTTGAGTCAATTTGAATTTCGAATTTCCGAATGAAGCATCAAAAAGAAGAGAAAATTTCCTATAAAACAAGCAAATAAAAAAAAATTAATATTTTGAAAATTTAAGGTATATATAAGCCCTTAAGGCGGATCAGCCTGCAAAATACGCTGCAGAACCTGTTCAGGTACCTGTAGAGGAGACTGTACATGAAACTGTAGAGGAAACTTTACGACCAATGGGCCCTGAAAAGCATAATTTGCAAGCAATCATCTTTATTCGGTACTGCACTAAGGAAAGTGCAGCCGAAGCAAAGAGGTCCTAACGTTTTAAAGAAGAGATCAGGTACACCACGGAGGAAATACCACCGGCACGATTTAAGGATCTTCCAAGGGAATTCGAATGCATATATTGTGGAAACAAGATATCCTCGTTCCGAAGAAGGGACCGCGATGCTATATGTGCAAGGCAAATGGCCATCGAAGAACAGGATTATTGGAGGGGATCAGAACTGAAGTCGCATTCTATCAAAAATCTTAAAACCCACTATTTTTGTGACAGGGAGATAGACAGTACTGCCTGGGCTGAGCACGTGAAAATATGCAACATAAGAAATTTTTCACGAAAAGTACCAAAATGGTAACATGCAGAGAGGTCTAACAGATCTTTGAAGAAATATATAGACCCCCCTTGGAAATCAGGGAGCAGCAACTACATTTGAAGTTGCAATATGTGGCAAAAATCACTGCCCGGATAGAAGGACTCAAAGAACGAATAATAGAAATTGAGGTGTCAGGTGACTGACAACTCATTCACGATAAGGATTATGAACTATGGAATATGGTCCATGCAGCCGGTCAAGACACACCTATGGAGCCAAAACAAGAAGATGGGACCGACGACCCGGAAGAGAACCCCGATGCCCACTCAGACATCGAAATACTTAATTAATATAGAATTATTTTGGTAATTAGCAGAATTTTTTTAAGGCATAGTATGGTTACTATATTATAGGAAATAAAAAATATATTTCCTAAGGTCCCGATTTTCTAAATTTAATTGATAAAACTATTGAATTTATTTTATTTCTTAGATTCAAAAATGAATAAAATCAGAGAAGTCCAACGCATATACATTTTTTAACTCATGTCTGCGTGAGCGGGTCTCAAAAATACAATTTTCTCTCACGAAAAGTTTGCAAGTAGTCGAATTCTCTTTGTTATAAATCAAACGAGTACCTTTTCCGTTAATAAGAGAGACGCCATTTTAAAATGGTGCTACACCTACGGGCGTAGCCAAGTTTTATCGACCGCGCCTTGGTCTTTACATAATGCACATATAATTTACATACCGACCGGTTCGGTGCGAATAGAAGCCCGGTAAAAAGAGACATGACAAAGATAAAACATGAACACATACTGCTATATTCACCTACGTGTGACTATTTTAATAATATTTAAAAATTATGGTAAATGTGGGGGCCTTTTAAAAATTGTGGTAAATGTGGGGGAGCTATGGCAATCAGGTGTGGAGACTCTTACAACTATATAGTAATCGATATTCATATCTGTACAGGGCTCACGAATTCCAATGTATAAAGAAAAAGCGACTATCGCAACTCGCACGAATTAAAAAGAAACTTGCGGCAATCGCGGCTGACAAAGCTCGTAGACTTCGGGTTCTCCAGCCACACCAGAAAAATAAATTCAACGTCACAAAGATGCGGCCGCGAAATTAAAAAGGTCTAAACTATCAATACAAGAAGTAGCCCGCAGGGATGCACAGAGAGAAAACGCGAGAAAAAGAAATGAAAGCAAAAAGATTTCACAAATTAAAAAATGTTCACATGATGCAGAAATGATTGACGATCGTAATGTTTGTAAAATATGTATAGAAGTGTAATGTCGCCTCTACATAGCCCACAAAAAAATTCAAACTTCCAAACCTCCTAAGGCGCCTGCCTATAGGCAGCCCTCTATACAAGCAGCGAGCCCACAAGCTGCTCGGGACTTCCCAGCCAGTTCAGAGCATAGCGAGAGAAATCTAACACTGTTTTACGACCGCCATAAAAACTCAACGGTTACTTATTTTCTATCACAGAAAAAGCCACATCGAACGATCTAGAGAACGAATATTCAAGAATAAAAAACACATGGAGAATACTCCTTGTCTACATAACCAATGGGTGGGCCGTTTTTAGGCTTTTTTTCTAGAATCGATTTGTAATAGTGATTTTCTGTTAGTTTCATGCATAAAATGAAAACTCGTTCAAGGCAGGTGCGTACAAATGATTCTTTCTGTCTCCTCAACGTCGATTAATATTGCCTTAATAACGACTTCACAAGGCAACGGGATTATGTTAAGGTTGGCAAAACTATATCCGTGTCTTTGGCTGACTACTTCGAGCTTATATATTCTTGTTGCCGACCAAATAGGTACACAAAATACAAATCTGTAACGTATAAGAATATGTCATAGCACGCACTATTTGTAGACTAATTTTGATCAAATATGCACAGCAGGCGATGAAGATTAGATATCTTTAGAAACATCTGATGACGATACTTATTCTATCAAAATACACGTACGATAGAATTATTGACTCAACAGTTCAAAGCGACAACAATAACCAATTACAAAATTGTCTGTTAAGACTTTACTAAAACGATTACTCAAGTCTCGAGGACAAAGTCTGCACATGGGCAACCCGATTTCTCATCATAGTAATCTACCAAATGATTCTTCAGACAAAAAGATGACTTCTATTCATACGGAAATGGTATATTACTGCCCTAGGCCACAAAAAACAGAAAAGTCCCTGAGTACGTGTAATTAGTATCCGAAGCGAAACCGAGGCCGATGAACATGTGCTCTTGGACTTTCTTTTTTGGCAGCTTAGGCCTGTATGCTATTTTTCATATGCAGTAATCACTGTTCTCGTTTTGCGCATGAAAAGGTTAACTCATTGAATGAAAATTAACCATTAGTAATAAATAAGGAATTATTAATATCGATTCTAATATGTATAAGATATTAATATTCGTTTCTTACCAGCAATGTAAATACTATCATGTTTCAAGGTTATCTGTTTAGACAGTTCGGCTTTACCAGGTTTATTAGGAAGACTTGGAAAACATACTTGAAAATCTTCATCTGACATGGAGGGAATCAAACTTGAAATATTTTTTTTGGAGGCATCTCTGAGTTTTTTTCCATTGATGTTGATACAATTCTTTGCTTGAGTAAAACTAAATCAATAGAATAGATAAGTTTACATAAAGCTAAACTTTAAAAATTTAGTTAAAGTAGATTTTATCAAATTTAGTTACCAGGTAAACATGTCGTTCATCTCCTTTTCTTCGTTACAATATAAAATTGAAAAATCGAGTGTGAGTGGGGATTCTTTTATCTGTTTGCTTATCACTCGTTGAATTAGTTTAAGTAAACACCATTTCCAGACAGTTTTCACGTTTTGAATATTTTTCAAAAACTCACTTAAAGATATTTTTGACGAATGCTGTTTTAATAGAAAATTAACTACCATACGTTCTCTAATTTGAACTGAAGCTGGAATGCGAACATTTATTTTGATGTTTTCTGAATCATATTTAGATAATTCTGTATTTTTTTGAAACTGTAACAATAAAATTTTTAATATTACCTTTTTCAGTAAAAATATTTTTATGGTTTATTATCACGTTGAATATATATATATTTTTCGGCCCCACTTTCACAGAATGAAGGAAGGTTTATTATTAGTCCAGACCCCAGGAGCGCCCCCGTATGAAAAAATATTCCAATGGAATATTTTTGTTGTTTCTTGCGGAAAGTGGTCGTCTGAATCCGAATCTGCATGTTGGCTGACCGGAAAATGGTCGGAAAATTTTTTAAACAATTTTCTCTAAATAAATTGCACAAATTTGAAAGTTTCCACACAAAACTAATGTTTTTAGGTTTATGAGTCCATTTTAAACAAAAAAGTACTCTTGGGTTTTTTCTCTAAAATCTATATTTTTCGAGATATTTAACATTGAAATTTCGAAAAAACGCGAAAATGGCTGTTTTCAACCCTCTGCAAAAGGGTTAAAAATTATGAATTTTCATGTTGGCGATAATCCTAGATTATCTTTAAATCTTCATTAATAAAATAAAGAAACGAAAATTTGCAAAACTCAATTGTTAAGGAGGTTTCATAGTAAACTTCATGTCTTTAGAAATGCCTGAAACTTTTTTATTTCAATCTTTGATAAGAAATGAATGTACAGTTAAAATCTTAGACTGATCCACAAACTAGTTTTCGAGAAAAAAAAATCAAAAAACGACGTCTTATACGTGGGTCTTATGGAGAAACTTACTACAGTGCCACTATAAAAAAGCATTATGCAACCAAATTAGACTTAAGAATTGGAAAAAAACCATTTTATAGAAGGCCAAGAAGGTATATTGATCATTTTGAACAAGCAAACGACCCGTTTTACAACACCGAATGCTCAATAAACAATATAATTACGAGAGTTTTAATGTAATGTATCGAGCGACCCATCACACGTGACAGAAACGTGGCAACGTCGCAAAGCAAATACGAAGTTTAGCTGGGTAATGTAGGCGCTTGTACGGCAACCCGAAATACACATAATAAATTGGTACATACTGTGAGAACGACGCTGTTGCCAGATTTCCTCGTTATAAGTGATGAAGTTTTTTTTATCAAAATTTATAATAATTTGATGAAATATATGTTCAGTATGATTAAAATAATGAATAATAAGGTCAATTTTCATTCTAAAATATCAACTTTCTTTATATATAGTTGAATTGCAGCTCATAATATTTTGTTCCCATGAGTTGGTATCACTGCTTCGCGCACGTGTATAAGCATAGGCGACCCCCTCGCCCCGCCTGCCCCTGGAAAGTGCTATCGAACCTCCTTAAATGATAGGCAAGCGTATACGCGTATACGCCTATCATTTAAGTCCAAAAACCATAGCTTAACAATTGAGTTTTGCAAATTTTTGTTTCTTTATTTTATTAATGAAGATATAAAGATAATCTAGGACTATCGCCAACATGAAATTTCATAATTTTTATTATCGATTTTACAGAAATAATATCGATTTTAGAGAAAAAACACAAGAGTACTTTTTTGTTTAAAATGTACCCAAACCCCAAAAAACATTAGTTTTGTGTGGAAATTTTCAAATTTGTGCAATTTATTTAAAGAAAATTGTTTAAAAATTTTTCCGACCAATTTCCGGTCTGCCAACATGCAGATTCGGATTCAGACGACCATTTTCTACAAGAAACAACAAAAATATCCCATTGGAATATTTTTTCATACGGGGGCACTACATGGGTATTTTTCATTAATTTACCAATGTAGCTTCAGACTACTGAAAAGAAAACACTTAAAGCAATAACTTTACACTTTCATAGATAAATTTGTCATAAAAAACAATGGCATGATTGAGAACATGAACTAAAAAATTTCGTACAATACTAGAATACGTGCAACGAGAATAGCTACTAAAACCCGCCATTGTGCAAACGAAAGAATTGAAGGGCCTTTAAAGGTCGTTTAAACCTCTATTTACAGTATTAGGTTGTAAAAGTAAAAAAAAATTTGTTGAAGAACGCACGTAACAACCCTTTTCAATACCCTATTTGAAAGTATTTTATAGTTACACACTCAAAAACAGTTAAAAACACTGATATAATAAGTAGGGTAGGCCGTTTTTAGGCTTTTTTCTAGAATCGATTTGTAATAGTGATTTTCTGTTAGTTTCATGGATAAAATGAAAGCTCGTTCAAGGCAGGCGCGTACAAATGATTCTTGCTGTCTTCTCAACGTCGATCAATATTATTTTCGCTGTTTTTTTGCTCAAATTCGCCTTTTTTTCACTCTACCACGCGCCAAAAATGGAAAAATGATGTTGTGCGATTCTAAACTCCGCGATTCATCAACTTATTAGGCAATGTCACCGAATTATTTCCACTTTTGGCCAACGGGAGGCAGCAGCGTCGCAGCAAATGTCATGCCCGTTACAGTCATAGTTTTGCGGATATTATTCTCGAAGAAGTGGTTCTATTTTCAAAATGTCAAGTGAATGTAAATACGCAAGTCTCAATATGATTCAATTAAAGAAATTATTAAAAGAGAGAGGTGCAAGATTGACAGGTAGAAAAGCTGAGCTTGTTAACAGGTAAGTTATATGATACACATTGTATTTAAATAAAAACGAGGTTATAATAAACATTACTTTTTATGCTAAAACGTTATACAGTGCATCCGATCACACTACACCTCATTTTATGATTTTATTTTCTACTATTAAAACTCAAGCGTATAAAAAAAGGTTATTATATCGCAGAGTAACAGACTTAAACATTCATGAAAACTAAACATCTGCGCATGACATTTGTTGCGACGCTGCTGCCTCCCGATGGCCAAAAGCGGAAATAATTCGGTGACATTGCCTAATAGGCTAATAAACATGTTTCAACCACCACCTGAGCTCAGAATTAAGATATGGAACCACGTAATGCGTATAAAGTCGGGATTTTGGCTGTTTTTTACCCATTTTACCCGATTTTCGACTACATGGTCGAGGTCCATTTTTAAATTCAACGCCATCGCCCGCGGTCTCTTTCTTTTCTTTGAGATAAGTACTAACAAGAAAAATGTCCACTGAGGTGATTTTTAGAGCAGGAAAAATTTGGCGCGCTCGAAGAAAATCGGATTTTTATGAATTTCTTAAAAAAATGGATCGTTTCAACTAGTACCTGGAGTTAATTATTGTGTTATCTCAATGCAAAGTGCATCGTCAAAAAGTACTCTTTTGAACGAGAAATTTTAAAAAAAAGAGTTCTCTACGATAATTTTAGCGTCCTGTAGGTCATTTTGAAGATGCCATAGAATGTATACGTAAGATGCCTCACATCGCGTCGATTTTAGCTAAACGTGGCATTTGGTTAATGGTATCGAAAATCATCTACTTATTATAAAACACACGAGAAAATAGAAAAAAGCTAGCGTCCATAAAATAGGCGCAGTTTTTAAAGTTCATAAACATATGTAGAAACTAAACTCTCCATAGGCACAGATGTATCAGACATCTGGAAAACCATCGATGATAATTGAGGCGGAAAAAATGAACTATGGCAAAAACTATCTTGAAAGTTTTTCAGATGCAAAATCTCAATTAATACCAATGGATTATTGTTCATTTACAACAAATTTAACGCATGATATAATATTAAATAGTTCCTAATCACTATTGCAATAAGCAGTTTATAGAATATTAATGAAATATGAAAAAATTAGAACTTACTTCTTTAATACATGAAGTTAAAAATTCCACTTGTAATATTCCCAGGCAAATTATACAAGATTCTACCATATAGTTGAGTTTTTCCTGTAAAAATATTAAAATATGAAAATCATTTTACTTGCTTTGCCATAATATTTTTGACACAGATTTCATACAGTGTAGTTTAATATTAAATATTTTGAACAAGCTTGATTAAAATAAATATTTATGCTACAAGTGACTAAAATGATACCATATCCATTACATCTTGCAGTTGGTTGGAAAAAATACTTGCGATTGAAAACGACAACAGACATAGATTGGAAGTTATTTGCTACATCATTTCCTTAATTTTTGAAAATAAAGACTGTCTTTGGTTTTTCTTTAGTCATTAAAGATTGAAAACTTCTTCACATGAAAGTTTGTATAGCGACAAAAAAAATGCATCATAAAACTATTGTATTAGAATTGATGAACAGTATCTAACACCAGAAACAACATATAAATATTTTTTTATTAACAAACTAAAGAGTATAACTTAAAACTGCTTCAATACTTTAAAACAAGAGGATTTTCACTTTGCCTGGATATTTTTATTTATTTTTACATCATACCGTAAACTAATTTCAAGTATCTTTACCAACCAACTGTAGGGTATAATAGAGTACGGTTTGTCATGCCACCAGGTGAATTGGCTGCTCAGTAAAACCCACTTGGAAAGAATTTTAAAAAACAATGACTTAACTGATTAAAAACATTATAAGCTATGAAAAAATATAATACATCTTTTACACAAATAGTTATTCAAGAATCTCAGTAAATATAAACGAGAATATTTCTTTAAAAAGTTTTTATGGTACCTGATAAATATTTTATTAAAATAAATGATGACAAATATCATAATAGGCATTGCTTAAAGAAAATTGTTTGTATAAAATTAGAATATATAATTTACATCATAAACTTGATTTGAATTAAAATTGTATACAGCATAGATATGTTCTTTAAATGATAGAAATTTACTACTAGTTTTTGTGTTACATAATCTAGTAATCAACTAATACAATCTTCATAAATCATGTTTAAAACAAATACCAAAGTATGTGCAAAAGAAATTATTCTTTAGAGAAGATTAGTTAAGTATTTTAAAAAATTGCATGTATTAAGTTAGTACAGATATTATAATCATTCATAATGTCATTAAAACTTAAAAATGGAAATAAATATAGAAGAAAATGTTACCTGTTCGAATAAGCATTCTGGTTCTAGTTTTTGTTTTGTAAAATCTACACCACACAATCGTAGGGAACAACATAAACAGCAGCCTATGTTTAAAAATTTTGTGCATACTTTGAAACGAAGTGCATTAACACCTTCACGATTAACACTCATTTTTTATAAAAAAAAATTTATAATTCACTTTCTGTAATTAGTTATTGGGCCCGCTCACCGGTGTCTGACAATCAAGCGTCAGCGGTAACACACTGACTCCAACAGTTTTTCTTATGAACTAAACACGTGCACTCGTAGCTAGCATTAAATTGGTTATGACCCACATAAGTAAACGAGAATGGTTTACAAGCCGTACGAAGCATATTGAGCGATTTACGATAGGCAGCGCCTCTACACTCTAATGCGACAAGCACTGCTACACAAATACACACATCTGCGCAGAATTTACTTCTAAAATGTAAAATTCGAATTAAAATTACTTTTAGAAGAAGCGTTAGGACTTCGAAGAGTCTTTTGAGCAAATTTAACTTTTTGAACTAATTCTTCTCTCAGTTTTTACTTTTCTCAAGGTTACCACGATAGTGTATCATTTCAAAAGTTACAAAATTTTCCAATGAAGTACTCGTAATTGTGAAAATGTAAACAACTCAATTTTATATGGAAATCTACGTAAAAAGAGGTCAATTTTATGTGGACTTCTATAGATTTTCTATGGAAATTCATACGAAAACCTACAAATTATTTATTTAAAACGGAGAATGTTTGCAATTTTCCACATCTATTTCCCTGTGCACCTATTTTTCGTATTATTTATAGGTCAATTTACGCTTAGATTTTCACACGTATTCCACTTGAAGATCATCAAAGAAACTCATATCAATTTTTCAGATATTTTCTAGGTTGATCTACCCGTAGGTTTCCATGTATAAAAATTATAATAAATTTAGTAGGCCATATAAAAAAAAACGTTTATAAACCGCATCGTGAATTGTTTAGTCTTCTTAAATTCTTAAATCTTAAATCTACGAAAATAGCATCAGCGTTATCTAAATGAGTCAATTGTGCAAACAATCTTCTCATCAACAATCTGAAGAAATAATTGTCAACTGCTAGAGTTGCTACTGTTGCTAGCGCCACACTCGGTCCTAGATTGTTTTCGCTTAATATTGTTACATTTCTGTGAATGTGCATGGAGCTTAACTCAACATTTTATACGATTATATTTATGGTTTTGTTCATATAACTATGAATAATGCATCATCATAATTAATACTCTCACAGTTGACATCGCATCGCAGTTTATTTTTATTAAATGGTTCGGGTATGGTGAAACTTGATATATATTCTGCGAAAATAGTGACAGTCCTTTAAGTATTTTCGTTCCCTCAGTGGGTCAGAAGTGAAGAATCTTGCAATATTTTGCTTAAATTTTTCAGATAATTTTTGTAATCAATAGATTCAGTTATAAATTTGACATTTATTAAAATAAGCATTAGTTAACTAGAAATATGTTGAGTTCTATCAGTTTACAGCACAGACGAAATACTACAAGATATGTTGTAAAATAAGTAATACCAACATTTTTAATCATATGTAAGTAACAATCTTATATATCTTATACATCCCATATTAACATGTACTTTAACAACATTGTACATTGACATCTAAAACCTACATAGGAACTTAATAAAATAATTCTATCATTTCATTTCATATGTTGACTAACAGCTAAACACGATCAATATGTAAACTTTCTATCTTTCAAAATTTTATTTTAAAAAAGAATGAATTATAAATTAGAATTCAATGTGTACTCTTTTCAAAATTGATGGTGCATTCAGATCTAAATAATAAAAAAATCAATAATAAATTTTTGCTTGAAGTAGCATTGTCTTGAACATTATTGATATAATGAAAACATATTTTAGTTTACGATACAAGATGCTTTGTACTATTAAAAATTTTGAAATTGGGAAAATTACTAATAAGAAACAAATAATGCCCTTATTATGAATCCATACCATACATTCAAATTAATAAAATCACATATTTTTGTGAAATAATCCCATATCTACTTTTCATGCAATAAGACTAGGCTAACATCATGCTAATCTGACACAGTAGTTTTATATAATACATGCACTCAACTTTTTATCTTGAAAGAGTACTAAAATTTGAACATGTGCTGCAAAGTTTGAAAGATCCTTTTATTCTTGAGCATCAGAGAAAATTTACAATGATGAAAAATGTATCTTTTACCCTAAATCCTCACATACCCTTGTAATTAATACAAAAACTTGATGACAAATATACAATAATGTTCCATGGGATATAAAAATATAAACAATTAAAACCGCTATGTATTGTGAAGTTTGATTTTATTCTATTTTTATATAACTGTCTTTATATTGCGAATCTTTTTAAAATGATTTATCTGCCATAAAATTTTGACAATACATGTTTGACTGTGAATTTTTAGTATAAATTATCATTTGTATCCTATAATTTTTTGCAATTATTATTACTTATAACTTTTTTTTGGTTCAATAAAATTAACTTTTTTAAAGATAAAAGTAATAAGTTTAAAATAATATATGCTACATATATGGGCTAAGCCATAGTTAGCGCGATGGTAAAAGAAATTTTTTTTCTCAAATTATGTTTTTTTGAAGAGTACATTGAAAAGTGAAAATCCTGAAAGTTTTAGCCCTCTAGGTCCAACCCTATTGGATTTTCAGGGTCTTAAAGTTGAATTTGCTTTTTCTGGTGATATTCTGCTTGCAATTCTGATTTAATATGAAAAAATTGTTGAATCATGGTTTTCCATATAAAATTTGATGTAGAATTCAAATGTGTACTTAAAAATCATATATACAACTTCCAAACCCATAAAAATGATATTTTCAGGCATTAATCATATAACTGTGCAAAAATAAATGTGTATGTCTCCTTTAATTAGGCCAATATTGTAATATGTTCATTGATACATCAAAATACAACTTCTGATAAATGTTGGTATTCTGCAGACAAAGAGACTTCATTATTGAGCTTAATATGAGTCAAGAATCAAGGAAAATTAGAGAAAAACCATGTTTCTTGACACATATTGAGCTCAATAATGAATTCTGTTTGTCTGCCAAATACCAAAATTTATCAGAAGTTGTAATTTGATGTATTGATGAACATATTACAATATTGGCCTAATTGTAGGAGACAAACACATTTATTTTTTCAAAAGTACATAATTTGAGAAAAAAAATTTTTCTTACCATCACACTAACTATGGCCTAGCCCATATCTATTTTCCGTCACATCCATGAATTTAATTAATAATTTATATCAACGACTTAATCATACATAAATATTTTTATTTTTTAAATTGGCTGAAAACTAAAAAAACCGCTGCCAATTCATTGGCAAAGAGCTTCCTCATAAAAAGTAATATTAATAAAACGCATCAGTTATTAACGAAAAATTTCGTATTTTTGAATTTTGATTCACTATCTAGTGTCTTAACTACCAGACGATGTTAGCCAAAAGGCCGAGAAAACAAAAACTCATACAGACATTTGTTGAGAATTGGATGTAGTTGACAAATATATAAACCAAATTGTCCTACGAGGTCTGGTTCAAAATCTCGTTTTCGATCCTATCACAGAGCTTCCTCTATGAGGAAGCAAAAAACAACTTTTCATTTCGAGTCGTTAATTTTAAAAATATTCGGTGAATTTCTATTTTTTTGGTCTTGAATTAAAGCCTGACTGCTCTGCTTCCATTCTACCGAAAAATAAACTAAAAATTCCTTCATTTATACATGAAAAAAAATCGAAAAAAAATTTTTTTTTCAAATTTGAAAAAAAAATTTCAAAAAATCGAAAAAAAAACTTTTTTTCCCGTGTATTTCCTTTTACCTTTTTCTGGCCTCATTAATACAACAAACGACAATGAATGCAATTGAAATTTATACAATCCACCGTAACATTTTCGAGATTTTGCTTCGGACATCCGCACATACACACACACACACACACACACACACACACATACATACGGACATTTGTTGAGAATTGGATGTAGTTTACAAATATATAAACCAAATTGTCCTACGAGGTCTGGTACAAAATCTCGTGTCGAGCCTATCACAGAGCTTCCTCTATGAGGAAGCAATATTTAACAAAAATACATTATTCAAATTAAGGCTTCAAGTTTCAATTCTATATGAAAAACTTAATTCAAGTTAACCAAATATAGGGTCTTAATTGACCACAAAAAGGTACATATACCTTACACCTCTTTTTTAATTTTTATTATCACTTGTTTATTAACATAAAATGAATGATTATTATGATGACAGAAAGATTATGCCATTAATAAGCAAATTGAACAGTCTTTACCATGTTTAACTTTCTCTTTATTTTCTTCTTTTAATTGTAATAATTTTTTACTATATAATATTTAAGTGTCTATTTGTCTATCTATTTGTTTGGGTGGTCGCAAAATTTCAATATATTATTGAAAAATGTCAACTTAACTTTTTCCACCTTATTATACATATGATGAATAAAGCTGTAAAGTTTTTGTGCCATAAGCAAATATAAAAAAAAATATAAAAATCCATTCTGAGAAATGTCATTACTAAATTTCCTCCATTTTGCAATTGCTGCCAAGGATGAATGGCAAGGCAAAATCCAGGTGTAGAAACCGACATTTTTCCCTCTCGAAATAAATTATTTAACCATTACCTATAATACTTCTTAATTGCACACCTGCAGGTGGCTTATGAACTTTGACTTAGAAAATCGTAGTATTCAGTTAGTTTTAACAATTTATTGTGATGGCAAACTCCAGATCGAAATCATCAAAATTCAAGGTATTAAAAATATCATTTACCTTGACTGTCATTTTTGGTCCTTCAGATTTCAGGCACATGAAAAGATATGTGAGTAGATTTCAGAAATTGCCAAATTCGTTAAGGCTCCTCTATATAGAGGGACAAATACCGACATACCGATATTATTTTGTACCCATTTTTTTTATTCTCTAGACAACTGTTGAACTTGAAACTTCGTGGGAGTGATTATGAAACTTATAAAAATGTGCCTCTAGAGCCAGTTTTCAATAAAATGTTTAATGAAATCATTTTAACTAATTGTTTGAGAATACGTTACTTTTGAGGTTATAAAAGGGGGATAATAGAAAATCAAGTTTGTTTGAAAGTACCGGTCATTTAATTGAAAACTGGCTCCAGAGGCACATTTTTATAAGTTTCATAATCACTCCCACGAAGTTT